AGTGGTGTTACGTGGGAGCGACGAGTCCCTCCCAACACCGCCCGCGCGGCCGCATTTTGGACTAGCTGGAGCCTCCGGGTGCTCCTCAAGGGAAGCCCCATGTAGAGAGCATTACAGTAGTCCAGGCGGGAGGTGACCAGAGCATGAGTGACTGTGCGCAAGGCGTCCCGGTCCAGAAAAGGCCGCAACTGGTGAATCAAGCGAACCTGATAAAACGCCCCCCTGGTCACGGCCGCCAACTGGTCATCCAGTGTCAGCCGTGAATCCAGGAGGACACCCAGATTGCGCACCCTATCCGAGGGGGCCAAAGTTTCGCCCCCTATAGTCAGCAATGGAACCAGCTGACTATGCCGAGGCATAGTTATCTTATGATGGGGAAGTGAGCTTTTAAAAGACATTGTTTACATTTCTTTTTGGGATGGTGGTGGTAGTGATGAGTATTTGGACTCAAAGACAGAATTTGAAAGCCAGATTAGACAAAAAATAGACATACCTTTTCTCTCCCTCTACTTTGCTTTACATCTATATACAATATGTTGTTCGTCCATCGATTTTTCGATGAAGACCTTGACATCTTGTGGATTGTGGGCCATCAACGGTGTGTCCGTAGATGGCTGATTAGACCGATGTTAGCACGGAATGTTCTGCCACATACTGAACAGAGAAATGTGGATACATTTGTATATACAATATATGTATATACAATATACATTTTCTTCTGCTCCTGCTGCTTCTGCATCTTTTGTTATTAATAATAATTATCTTGCCTCAACTTTATTTCCATTCCTTAATCATTCCTGACTATTAAACAAAATCTACAAATAATCAAATAGCAGGTGTTTCAGTGAAAGGTTTTATTTTAAATATGTGTTTGGTGCATCTGTGTGGTAATTATAAAATTTGCAAAGGGTAGCCTTATCTTGTAAAGGGAACTCTTTTTGTATATAAAAGGAATAAAACCGCTTCTTTTGAAGTGATGCCTTCTATGTCAATGTGTGAACGATAGAACCAAATTTGGCTATAAATGTTTTTGCTCATGGGCAAACATAATTAATGAAATGCAGCAATATGATTATTCAAAATTTCATTAATTGGACAACACATTTTTAGGAGATGAATTTCTAACAATGAACTTTAACATGGTGAGCTATGGTTTAATGCCAATGTTTTTATCTTGTTATTTCTATTTCAAGTTCCTCGTGAATTTGCCCATGTTGTTTTTAATTTTTATTAGAAACAGTAGCTCTGATTCTTTTTCTTGTTTTTCCTCCATTTTTAGGCTGCCTCTGGATTCCAGAGAATCCTGTCAACCTTGACACTAGCAATATTTCCAACTCTTTATTTTTTTACATTCCTTTACTATACTGATACAGGCTCCACGTTTTTTATCCTCTTTGCCTATTTAATGTGTCTTTATGGCAATCATAAAACCTCAGCATTCCTTGGATTTTGTGGGGTTATGTTTCGCCAGACGAATATTGTATGGACTGTCTTCTGTGGTGGAAGTGTTGTTGCAGAAAAGCTAAGTGAAAGCTGGAAAGTGGAATTACTGAAAAGCAAAGAGAAGAAAAACTTACTAACACAAAACCTCTTTTCAGAATCAATTAGGATTGTTAGATTTGTCCTTGGGTACTTTACGTCATTTAAAAACTTGAGCAATGTGATTCTCTTGATATGGCCATACATTACTGTAATGGTGGCATTTGCTACTTTCATTGTCCTCAATGGTGGCATCGTTCTTGGGGATAGGAGCAGCCATGAAGCCTGCCTGCACTTCCCTCAGCTATTTTACTTTTTTTCTTTTAGTCTTTTTTTTTCCTTCCCTCTTATAGTGACACCCAGTAAAGTTATCAGTTTTCTCCATTCTGTGAGGATCTATTTTCTGCGATATAGTATCCTGACAATTGTTTCTTTATTCCT